CTTTGCCGAATTAGTAAGGACGACTGGGGGGAAATACGGACCAGACCGCGATCAGAGAAAGAAGACAGAGGTGGGAGCACAAAAGGAAGGGGAGGGAACAGCAGAGGTTATGGGAGTATTGCTTTCCCATGGCTGCTGTGACCGCCACAACCTTGGTGGCTTAAAACAGCAGAAGTTTGGGGCAGAGAGGTGGCCCAACAGTTAATGGACTGGAGTTCAGATCCCGGCACCCATGATCAAAGCTGGGAATGGTCCTACAAACACCTGTGACCCCAGCTCTGAAGCGGGGGGAGACAGAAGGTTTGCAAGCTCTGGGTTCAGACCCTCAGAGGAGCAGAGCAAAAAGAGAGAGAAGAGGACACCTGAAGAAGTTCTGCTCTGGCCTCTGCAAGGGCATATGTGCACACCCTCACCCCTTCTGCCCCCACATCACACACACACACACACACACACACACACACACACACACACACACAAAGTAAATTAACAAACCCAGAAACGCACTCTTACGTAGTTCCGGAGGACAAGTCCTATATCTGCACCCTTGAGTTGAAACCAGGGTGTCAACAGAGCACTATACTTCTGCCTCCTGCAGTTCCCATGACCACCAATATTTCTTAGAGTAATGGTAGCATTACTCCAAGCTCTGCTTCCATGGTCACAAGGCAAGCCTTTTATCTGTATAATCTGCCTCCTTCTCTCTCTCATAATGATGCTTATAATGGTACTTAGTGTCCTCCCAGATAATTGAGGGTAATCTAACCTCATGTCCTTAATTGTACCTGTAAAGACCTTTGCTCTAGGTAAAGTCACACTCACAGTTTCTTCCATGGCTTCCATGAATGGACACAAAGAGACCCTTTTTGTGGGAGATAGTATACATAGTTTAGTCTACAACAGTGGGAAAAAAGGCAAGGAGGGGGAGGGAAGGACTTTGAGATCTCAGACCCACCTACTTGAAGGGCCACCTTCCTTTAGAATAAATAGTACTGTCCCCTAACCATTCCTTTGGATGTCACTGGCAGCATGTTAGCTCTATGCACACACCAGTGACCACTCACAGCGGTGGTTGCAGAAACAGTGAGGAGACCTTGGACCTCAGCCACTGTTTTCAAAGCTTTCACAGCTCTAGTGGAAAAAGCCTCGCTTCCAACCTTACTTTCCTTCCTTGGCATCCTTCGCAGAAGGCTGCCTACCCCAGGCTTGATCACTCTCCACACCCTAGAGGACAGGGCTTCCATCCCTTGCTCATCTTCAGAGCTGATTCTGTTTAGGTCTCATGTTGACACTGAGGCAGTCACTATGGCCAAGCTGACAGAGGCCCTAATTAGCTGGATGAGATGTCTACCTCCCACAGGAGGGGTAGAGCCAGCCAGTCTAGAACCACATAGGCTTAGAGCTGGAAGAAGCAGTTTACCACTGAAAAAGACTGCAGGGAAGGCATACCCTAGACAGGTAAGCAAACTCTCCTGCCTTTCCCAGACCATGGCATGCCTCAGAGGAGGAGGCACTGAGGCTTCTTGTAGACTGAGTAGATAGCAGCAAGGTTTCCCTTCAGACTCTTGGCTCAAGTGGAATAGGCCCTCCTGGTTCCTATTGGGAAGGATCCAGGGAGCATTCACGTCACTCCTTTTACAGTTCTGTTGGCACCTGATCCATTGGGTTGTGGAATATTCCTTTATACTGTGCGAATATATGTCACTGTGATTGGTTTAATAAAAAAGCTAAATGGCCAGTAACTAGGCAGGATTTTCTGGGCAGAGAGAATGCTGGGGAGATCGGCAGAGTCTGGGGGAGCCACCAGCCAGATGCAGAAGAAGCATCATGAAAAGTTCATAGATGAGGTAAATGAGCCTTGAGGTAGCACATAGATGAATAGAAATGGGTTAATTTAAGTTATAAGAGCCAGCTAAAAACAAGCCTAAGCTATTGGCCAAGCTTTCATAATAAGAAGTCTTTGTGTGGTTATTTGGGAGCTGGCTTTCCAGACCAAAACAAAACAAAACAAACAAACAAACAAACAAAAAAAAAACTCCTCCTACATTGGGTCCATACACTAGTCCTTCAGGAACATTGATTCCTCTTCTACACACACACACACACACACACACACACACACACACACAGAGAGAGAGAGAGAGAGAGAGAGAGAGAGAGAGAGAGAGGAAAGAGAGAACTCTGTTAAAAATTGGACTATTCCTCCAGCAGCATCCTATTTCCTATGGCAGTGTGTTCTGAGTACCACTGAGCAGGTCTGTACCTGTCTGTTTCCAACCTGATAGTAGTTTCTGGAGAAAAGAAGCCTTAACTAAGAATATATAAATTTGCTGACCTGGACTTGAACTGTGGGAAGAGGAGGCAGGGGAGGGAACTCAAGAAAAGTGTGTCGCCCCCAGGACAGAAGTAGATTTGAGATGAAACCAAAGCTGAAGGAGATACATTTAACCACAGATGACATAGTTGTTGGAGCATCCTAGTGCTGGAAGCATTCTACTGAGATGGATACCCATTCTAAGGATCCCATACAAGACTTTCATCCCCAGCATTTAACCGGGTATGGACCATATCCTATTTCTCATCTCTTGCTTCTTCAAGCCTGAAGTTTTGTTCTGTTTTTTTTTTTTTTTTTTTTTAATTAGGTTTGTTTGCACACTGCTTTTGAGGCTGCATAAAAATCAGAAGCTGGCCCTCTGACTTTAAAAATAAGAAAATAAAAAGACATTAGGATTCATTTCCCCTAAAATACTTCTTAGAGAGGATCTAGCAAATTGCGGGGAAGGGAACCGTTATCAGAATATATGGGAAAGAATTCCTTTTTTTTCTTTTTTGGTTTTTGAAACAGATTTCTCTGTGAAACAGGCCTGGCTGTTCTAGAAATCAATCTCTTAATTATTTTCAAAGAAATAAGTCTTTTCAAAGAAAAGAAACATCTAGATGCTGGGAGTATAGTTCGGTGGCAGAACTCTTGCCTAGCATGCCTGAGGCCTTGGGTTCAATTCCCAGCTTTGAAAACAAACAAACAAACAAAAAAAAAAACAAAAAACAAAAAACAAAAAAAAAAAAAAAAGAAGAAGAAAGAAAGAAAAAGAAAAGAAACTGCTCAAAAAAGAAACATCTAGTAAATATCATAGATGTATACCCCCCAATTAGTAAAATAAAGGCAATTACGTTATTCTTCATTTGTAGGGCCCCCTTTTGAGGTTTCTAAGCATATAGACCACAAGTCTATGCGGCCTTTTTAAATAACAAAAATAACGACCCCAGGGTTCAGTGATTTGAAGTTCGGAAGAAGGGAGGGAGTAAGGAAGGAAGGCAGAAAAGCTAGCTTTATCAATAGAATTGACTGGCTTTTGAATAAAGGGATTTTGAATGGAGTTTTTAAGATTCTTAAAGATGGAGGATAATTCTGTGGCTTCGTGGTTTTATTTTTATTCTTTCATTCACCACGCTCCTTCTTTCTAGCAAGTCTCCAGTTTGTTGGCAGATAAAAATACATCTGCAGAGTTGCCCAGAAGCTGCGCCATCAACTCCGTAGCCAACAAGCCTCATTTTCTTGCGCCGCTATAGACATGTCTCCCTCCTCTAGTTCACCAGGATCAAAGTCCGTCATATTCTTAGACGAGTTTTCTCAGAGGAAACCAGAATTCAGAGTTGATCCCAGATAGGGTCAGTCCTTGAAGGCAGATCGATAGTCATGGTGCAGACGCCTTATCCCCCTACGTAGCCTCGTCTGAGTTGCGCCCCCTCTCTGTGCTCTCTGAGAATACGCCTGCCAAGTCCAGAAATCCGTTACCAGGCTGCTGTATCCCTAAAGGCCATTCAAAAGGCGGAAGAAGACGAGAACAGCGCCTATTGATTCCCTGGGCCATGTGGGCCGGGAGCGCATCGGGTAGTGTTATGGGAAGGTGAGGCTGGTGGTTCGGTTAACCGCAGACGCCTGAGAACCCCTGGCCAGACGTGCCTCGGCAGCTTCTAGCAGCTGACACTTGTCTGCTCACCCCTTGGAGTCCGGCACCCACCGCGTTGGCTGTGTGGGTTGCTCTGGGAGCAGCGCTACAGGGCCTTGGTATAGAGGTAGCGGGGTCCCCAAAGTAAGCTGGCCACCCCTATAAACTTTTTACCCCCCCCCACTTCCCTCCAGGAAAGAAGGTAATCAGGAAAAATAAAAACAAACAAACAAACAAAAAAGACTCAAAGCCTTTTGGTTGTCTTCGCCGGCGGAGAAGGGGGGAGGGTGTATCAATTTTCAATCCATGGCTTCCCGGATGGGTCCTTTATCGCCTTCGAATTTGAGAATCCAGGGGTTAGGGTAGGCAGTAATGGGACAGGCTGAGGACTAGTGACTCGCTTTAAGTAAGCGTTCTCAGGACATGCACTTGGCTTTTATCTTGTGCGTTTATCTTGAGTAAAGGGACTCCTGGGGGTGCAAGGTTTTGGGGTGAAAGCTGCTTTGGTAGAGCAAGCTTTATTTTCTTAGATTGAGTGGCACAGATCAGTAAAGGGACGTGCTCCAAAGATGCAAGATTTCTAGATTATTGAGGGGTGTTCCAGATGATAGGAAATTTAAGCTCTCAAACCCCCTCCCGTTACCTGATAAGCGTCCTGAGGACCCTCCCACATCCGACCACCGAAATTCCAGAAAAGCCTGAAAACATTTCCACAAGATCTAGAGCCAATTTCTGACTTGCTTGATGGAGACAAACCCACTTCGGAGGTGGGAGCCAACTCCTGGGAGACCCCAACTCGTGGGAGGGGTGCCCGGGGCAGTGGACCTGGGGCTTGTTTCAAAGAGTTTATAGGTAATGTGCATATGATGGAGTTATGAGGCAGAGGAGTGATTTAAAAAAATGTTCTTCCTTTTTTAAAAAAGAGGAGGGGGGAAGAATCAGACGTTAAATTCTTTTGCAAACATTCATGCCTAAGGAAGGGCTGGATCAGGCAGCCCCGGCCGCCGGAACCGGTCGGACAGGTAGCGAGCTTGTTGACACCGTTATGTTGCAGGGCGCATGCTCACTCCCAAGTTTCCTGGTGCCTTTTCTATTCCACCTTATGAAACTTTTTCCCCGGCGTGGTCTCACGCGCGATTTAAGGCATAGGTATCGCCGAGCCCGGAGGCTGCGAGTCACCCGGAGTGAGGGGAGAGGTCAGGGCAACGCGGCGGGGGTGGGAGCAGAAGGGCAAGCAAGGCGGGAAGGTGGGCTCCGGACTCCGGGAGCCAGGGGATCCAGGCGCCTACACCGCCACTAGCGGGGACCAGAGGGGAGGAAGGGGCCGCAGTCGGGAGGGGGATCCCACCATGCCCAAAGTCTTTCTGGTGAAGAGGAGGAGCCCGGGAGTCTCGGTCCGCAGCTGGGATGAGCTCCCGGATGACAAAAGGGCAGACACCTACATCCCAGGTGAGAAGCGCGGGGGCCCGGCCTGGGCGCGGGGCTCCTGGGTGGGGGCAGGGTGACCGGGGCCCTCCTGCTCGCGACCAGGGCTGACGTTCCCACTCCTTTCCTCTCTCGCCTGGGGACGTGGGGGGTCTTGCGAAAAGGGGTTTCGAGAACCAGGCTGGGAAACCTGAAACGCCCGGTGCTTTCTCCCTAGACAGGGCTAATTGCCTGGCGGCGGGACCGTTGGCTGCAGCGCGGGCCGAGGTGGCCCTGGAAGCGGGTGGAAGGCACTGGGGGTTCCCTTGCCCTCTACGCCCTCTAAGCCTCACGTGAAGGTCCGCTAACCTCTGTGGAGCGAGGCAAGGCGAGGGCACACCCGCCTCCGCGGGCGCGAGAGGGAACTTGGCGCGCGGGGTTCTCCGCGGCGCATGGCCCCTGGTGTTTCGTGGGAGCCGGGGTGACCTGAGGACCGGTCTCCGGGCACCCTAAGTTAGTTCGAGGGGCCGATCGCCCGGCTGACTCGTCTACCCTGGGGACGTCGCCCACTTGGCGAGGTGCCCAGGTCCGGGGCGGGGCGGCGGCACCGCCCGCAGGTCAAACTGCCGTGGGCGCCCGGGCGTGACGCCGCGTGTGGTTGAGTGTCGGGGTGCGGCCCCCTCTCTCAGCAGTGAGCCTGGGCTGTCTGCTCCCGGACCCCCCTGAGGACTGCCGCAGCGACGGCGGCAGTAACAGTGGTTGCAGCAGCAGCAGCAGCAGCAGCAGCAGCAGCAGCAGCAGCAGCAGCGCGGGGGAACCCAGAGGCATCGAGAGCAGCTCGTCCCCGCGCGCGCCCGAGCCTGAAACTCCAGAGCTCCACGACGCCGAAGGACTCGATGGACACCTGGCAGCGATGCAGCGCCCGATTGCCAGGTCAAAAATCAAGGTAGGGTGTCGACTCTGCCCCCGCCGCCACCTGCACCACGCCCTGGCGTCCGACTCTGGAGCCCCGGCGCCCCTCCCTGCCGCGCCCGCCCGCGCACCGGGGCTCAGGCGCCGCAAGCCGGCCCGTCACTCCTGCACCTGCCCCTGGGCGGCAGCCAGGCTCCGCGCGACCTGTCCCATGCGCCACAGTGCTCGGGCTGCCAGCATCTTAAGCGGACCCAGCCCCCAGGGTGGTGGCCCTGTCTAACGCTGGCAGTGGCTCCGGGAACCACTGAAGATAGAACCCAACTATCTGGGTTCAGCTGTGTTCAAGGACAGACTATTAACTAAATGGCCCAAGACTCCGGGTGGAGAAGGAGTGCGACCCGAGGTCTTAGACGTGATACCCTCTTGGATGCAGTCCTTGGTACCTTGAGGTTCTGAGGGTTTTGTTTCCCTCCTTGTTTTTTGGGACACGGTGGGCCTCGCAGTCACCGCTATTCCCGGTGCTCGTGGAGCCTGTTAGACGGGTAGCTTGTTGTGCAGAGCACTGTAGATTTGCCTTTCTCTCAAATCTTTAAGAATTAAATTAGTGGGTAAAAGATAAAAGGGCTCACCTGCAGATTTTTTTTAAGTGTTCCTATAGTGGATTGGAATGTCTGTGCCCCTCAAAAGCTATAGAAGGCCATCTTATCTGGATGGCCATCAGCGCTTTGTTGGAACTCCCATGACCACCTTTTCAAAGGTATCCGCTACCCCCAGGATTTAGGAATCTTGCCCCGCTGACTCACGGCCAGCTAGAGGGGGAGGGGAGGCGGTGTGTTTTATGCATAAACCCCAGGTCCTAACCTGGCCGGCTACAGTGCCACCTTGTATAAAGTGAGCCATAATTCTAGGGTGTCACAGAGTATCAACTACCCAGGCTCCCAGGCCATTGCGGGAGGGAACGGTGAACCCACGGTTAGGTGGGAATAAAGAGAGCAGCCTTTCTTTCCCCAAGGGTGGGCCAGGGCGCATTTGAGGCCAGAGCACCGGAAAAATACGATGCTGCAAGTTGGGTGTTCACAGAGTGCACCTTTAGGGTGAGCAGTCCAGAGGCTGCTGGTCCCGGTGGGGTTAAGTGGGAGGGAAATTTTTCCTGAAGCAGATAGCTCTTGCCCTTTGGGAAATTCTACAAAGTGCCCCACTTGCATATTTATCACCAGGCTAGAAAGACAATTGTAAGGTTGTTTGGGGAGGGACAGTGGTTGTTAGTTTGCCCCTCCTCCATCCCCTTCTTGGTAAAGAGAGAAAGCCAGTCTCGAGATTTCGGAAGATCTCTTTTCTGCCTTGGGCAGACACAAGTGTTGGAATTTTGGATTAAGGGAGTCAATAAACTAGTCCTTTCCAAGATAAGTTGTCTCTGTGGTGGGGGAGGGGCTGGGGCTGGGGCTTATTTGCAGACCGTTAACAAGCAACCTGCTCCCTACCCTTCTCCATTTCCTAGGGAGCTTTTATTCACTGAAGATGTTCTGGTTCCTACCCTTCCTTTCTAGGCCAGCCTTGTCTATATAGTGGAGTTCCAAGCCAAAGAGGGCTACATAGAGTGACCCTGTTTCAAAAAGCAAAACCAAAAAGGTTTGGTTTTTTTGACTGGAAGAGGAAGCAAGCCATTTGAGGATGAGGTCCATTCATGGCAGGACATATTTCTGCCCCCAAAGACCTGACCCCCCCTTTCATGCTAGACAAGTGCCATATAACTGAGTTGCAGCCGCAGCCATGTGTACTGCTTTAATGACTTACTTTTAAAACTTGAAGATACACATTGGACAGTGGGCTTGTAGGACCAAAGAAAGGGCAGGTTTGAGCCTGTGCCCTGCCCAGAGGAAAAACAAAAACAAAATAAAACAGAACATCCAGCAGCATACATTATGTCTGCTATGTGCAAGACAGCCAAAAGATAAAACATTCCTACTCCAGTGTATTCCTTCCATAACACTGTGGCAGTAGTGGTTAAGTATAAATTCTTCAGAACTGTGCAAGCTTGAGCAGTTCTTCACTGTTCTGGGTTTCGGGTCCCTTATCTGTAAAATGAAGATATTCATGATCTCTACCTAATTCAGTGTGAGGCAGAATGAGCAAAGGATGAAATACGTTGTATGCTCCTTAACCATGGATGGTCTCTGGTCTGGCGGAGGAAACACTTGTGGCATCTCTGTAGAGAAGAGAGAGAGGACCAGACTGGAAGCACCTGCAAAAATGGTATCACTGAATTGAGAAGGGGTCTTGATATGGTCCAGAAGGTTGTAGAAATGAGGATGACCGGTCTTAGGGTGATGTGGGCTGAGCCCTGTGCCTGAGTAAGGAAAAGAATCAATGGTCTGATGAGCAAAGGATAGGAAATATACTGGTTAGGATCAAAGTCAGGGTTGGCAATATGGGGCTAGAAATGAAGCCTAGGAGACGATGGGAGTGTGTGGAAGGGCCAAGCCAAGAAGAGTGTTCCTACAGCAGCTTTGGGAAGCTCCCAAGGCTGGAAGACATGACTGGGAACATCTTGCTCCTCAAAGCCATGAAGAATTGTGTGAGTTAAATGAAAAATCAAATGGGGAACCATTAGCACAGACTTCCCAACAAGTAAAGGTTTTGTTATTGCCACTGCCTTGCAGCAGGAACCCTGGTTGTGTTAGCTGTGGTGAGGTGTCCAGGAAGAAGGCTTGGGATCAGGCTGGGAAGATAGAGCACATCCCTGCTTGTCTGACCTTCCATTGTGGGCTTTGGGGCAGGCTATGATGTGATCTCTTTAAGACTAAGGATTTTGTAATTTAAAAATCAGGTTGTGGTGGGAAGAAATGAACATCTGGGCCAATCGAGGACCTCCTTTGCAGATCTCTAACTGTGGGCTAGACAAACCCTCTGAAAACAGGTACCCCTGGTTTCTAAGCATTCCCCCAAACAAAATCTAGAGTGAGCTTGGCACATTGACTCACCATGGCTAGCAGGACCCCACTGCAAGCAGGGACAAGCAGGTGAATTTCTGTTCTTAGTCCATCCTAACCTTCTCTTTTTCCTTTAGCCTTCTCCTTCCTTGTGAGTTCTGTAGAGGGACAGCCAGGCTTGGTGGCACATGCCTTTGATTTCCGCACTGAAGGCAGAGGCGGGCTGATCTTTGTGGGGTCAAAGAAAGCCTGGTCTACAAACACAGTTCCAGGTCAGCCAGGGCTACATTGTGAGAGCTTGCCTCAATTAGAAACAAAATTTATTCCATCTTTCATTTGGGTCTTTAGTGGGTGCTGACAGTATGTGTCAAATGTGTGCCCTTTTTTTTTCCTATCAGTTTTAATTATGAAGAGTTTCAAAAACAAAATAGTAATGTTTGTCACTTAGTTCCAGCCCATCCTTACTGGCTTCTATCCCCTACCTTCCCATGGAAGACTTGAAGCAGTTTTCAGATAAACTATAGTCATGTTCTAAATAACTATGGGGCATACATAGAACTGTGATCCTGTAAGATTATAATGCTACATGACGTCTTAGCCAGCTCAGCTTGTGTAAATACACTCTGTAATGTCCACGCAATGGTAAAATTGCGTCACTGGGCTTTTCTCGGAATGGATCCATCATTAAGCAATGACTGACTGTATTTCAATTATAAGTGGTTCCAAATGTGCCCAATCACACCCACTTGAATTATGTGTTCACATTGTTAAATGGCTTGTAAATGCCTACTCTTCCTCCTCCAGTTTGTTTAATCAGGTCCACATAATGTCCACACACTGTGATTGACATTTGGCATGGCCTTTAGTTGCTTTTAATTTACACATTTTTTTTTCTCCCATTTTTTATGTACTTGCAAGTTAATTGTTGGAGCAATGGGTCATTTGGTTTGTAGAGGTCCCAACAGTCTGGATTTCACTCAGTTAGTCACCTTGAGCATTTCTCAGTCTCTGTTAACTTCAGATGGATTTTAGGGATAAAGGTGCACCATTCAACAGGGTAGTCCTAGTCAGATGTAGCCTTAGTCACATAGGATTAAAAGTGAAAGACCTTAGTACTGCTGACTTGGCCAGTTTGGGATGGGGGGGTTCCCATCATAGAGAGCTGTATGGGACAGCACCGCTTTGTATGTTTGGCTTGAATATGTTACAGTGTGTGTGAGAAGGTGAAAGGTTGGGTTCCATACAGAGGCTGTGCTGTTACCTTTCTGCGATGGTAGGAGCTGTTGATGCTTAGGGCATAAATATTTTAGTATTGCAAAATAGTGATATTCCAGTTCTGTTCATCTGTTAGCTGTAGCCGATATTGACCTTGAGGCCTTGCCCATGCTAATCACATGCTTTCCCATTGAGTCACACCCTAAGAGACCTCCAGAAGGCATATTTCTTTATTTTGTTTTGTTTTTAGGTTTTTTGAGACAGGTTTTCTCTGTGTAGCTTTAGCTGTCCTGGAACCTGCTCTGTAAACCAGGCTGTCCTCGAACTCACAGAGATCGGCCTGCCTCTGCCTCCTATGAGTACTGGGACCAAAGGCATGCGCCACCAGCACCCGGCGAGAAGGCATATTTCTGTAGAGACAGATTTTTCCTACATTTTGTTTGGCTTCATAGGGATAGTGTATTAAGACAATTGGAAGAACGCTTGATTCCTGCTCAGTGTGATTGTGTACACAGTCCCTGCATCCAGGCTGTAATCCCAGCTCCTGGGAAGTTGAAGACAGTAGTTTCTGTCAAACCAAGCTGTGTAACCACACAACTATGTTTCCAAAACAAAACAAAAACCAAAAGACAAGAAACTGACTGATGCACTCCTTTAATCCCAGCATTTAAGAAGCAGGTGGAAGCAGGCAGATCTATGTGAATTGGAGGCCAGCCTGGTCTACATAGTGAGTTCCAGGACAGCTAGAGTTACACAATGAGACCCTTAGTTGGGGGGAAAAAGATAACAAAAACAAATAAAGAAAACCCAACAACAAGAAGTGTTAGTTTCCTTTATGAATGAAGATTATCAACTCATTGACAAATTCTTTGGTGAGCCTAATTTGTTA